AAGGGGGTGGGAGGGGGCTAGATCCCCGCCTTCTGCCCAGGAGAGAGCCAGTGGTGCCCAGAGACACCTTCAGAGCTTCCCACTTGCTCTGTAGGGATGAAAGGCTCTCTGGTCTTCAGAGGACAAATCAGGACTGGAAAGTTCACCCTAGTCTTTACCATCCCAGGTCCTTTTGTCTCCCCATGCCTCAGTTCCCCAGCCCCAGCCCTTCACCTGGTGCTGGGATGGGCCACCCTTGCAGCAGGTCCCCACGAGAGGGAGCCTCCTTCACGTGTCTGGAGACTCATGAAGGACCTGCCTGGGCACCTTCACCCCACGCTGACGCCCACCAAAGCCCCCGGCCAAACCACTCCACCACAAAAGCCCTCCTGGCCCAACAGCTATTTCTTTGCTTGACTCCCCTGGTTCCCAAGGGCTCCCACTGAAGTCGATGTGACAGAGCATGTTGGAGCCCAGAGAGGACGAGTGTCACACCAGGGTGCACAGCAACGATGCTGACTTGGTGCCGTCCCTCCTGCCACCAGCCCACCAAAGCCCCCGGCCAAACCACTCCACCACAAAAGCCCTCCTGGCCCAACAGCTATTTCTTTGCTTGACTCCCCTGGTTCCCAAGGGCTCCCACTGAAGTCGATGTGACAGAGCATGTTGGAGCCCAGAGAGGACGAGTGTCACACCAGGGTGCACAGCAACGATGCTGACTTGGTGCCGTCCCTCCTGCCACCAGAGGTCTGCAGTCAGCAGCACCAAAGAGCTCAGAATATGCAGGGAAGACTTGCCAGTGCCTCATGATGCCCAGAAAGCTCTCAAGATGGCTACAAAGCCACCAAGCCCCTCTCCAGCCCCTCCAGCCCACCCGTGCTCGGTCTCTACACAGGGGAAGGAAGATGGGGAGCTGGTTCAAGCCTGGCTCCTCCCGTCTCTTCACACTGTCATGGGGTGTGGTGGAGATAGGCAAAATTGCAGCTGGTCAAGGAAATAGGGTCTATCTCTAAGGGCTTAGCTTACAAAGCACCATCACGAAGCAAAAGAAAAGTCCTCGCTGTGCCGGGGACCGGTGCTTTCCACCTGAAAGCCCTACCAAAGGGTGTCCCTGCCTCTGCACCAAAGAAGGAGGCGCCCAGCGGGACCATTGATGACGGTCAAGGCAGGCCGGTGGGGTGGGAGGAAGCCAAAGGATGCCCAGGCAAAGCCTCGCTCCTGGAACGGGCTCAGGGCATGGCTGGCGGTGCCTTGGTACGGGCCAGCTGCTGCGGGGAGCCGCCGGAGAGCACGTCCGCGGCTCAATAGCAAGATCTTCCTATTGCAAGGGTGGTGAGAAAAGGGCCAGCGCTAGTCTGTCCCCGAGACTCCTGCAGAGAAAACAAGGCTGTTAAACAAAACCTGGGGTGCAAGAGCATTGCTGCGCTCCCCCAGCAAGCTGGAAATGCATCGCTTTGGGCTGGCTGCAAATTGCAGCTTCGCAGGCGCCGAGGGAAAGCAGAGGAGCCAGGGGATGATTTGTCTCTTGCAATTTCTCAATCGATATCCAGCTCCTGACGTTTGCAAACAAAAAGCAAAGGAGGGAAAGTGGCAGGTGCCAGAGCGAAACCAAAATGTGATATTGTGGGTGGAAAGACACTGCCAGACCTGAAAAGCCTCCAAGCAGGAAAATCAAAGAGGAGGAAATTGCAGGAGAAAAAAAAGTGCTTGCAATCGAAAGATGCTACATCTGGAGACAGCCCACAGCAAAACAGCAACGGGTCTGTACTCTCGCAGGTGGGCTTGGGAAGACGTCCAGGCTCCAGGAGGTCTGAGCCAGCAGGATCCAGACTCAGGCTCCGAAAGAAGCCTTTCCCACACTACAGCCCCGGAGAGAAAACAAATGTCTCCGTGGCTGGGGCACGGCAAGAGCAGCGCCATGGGCTGGTGCCAATACCGAGAATTCTGAAGGTTCATGATGGAAATGACGCAGCAGTCACGGTGCCTGGAGCTTCCAAGCTCACGCCGTCTGAACCCAGGAGCTCCTGGGCAGCAAACCAAGGTCACCTAACGTGTCTGGGCTTGGACGCTGGCTCCTGCTTGCTGCCCAAACCTGGGTGGTGCCACCCACCGTCCCCAGCACAAGCCGCAAAACGCCCGCAGGCAGCTTGGCAAAGGCCAGCAGAAGAGGAGGTGCCGCGGTCCCGGTGACAGCCGGCAGCAGGCAGGCATCAGGCTGCCTCTGCTTTTGGAAAGCTGGCATCCGAACCAGCCATCGCTTCCCCGCAAAAACCCTGCGGCGGGGGAGCCATCGCGCCTCGCCCCAGCGAGGGCTGCGGAGGGGAGGCAGCAGTGCCGGATGCCCTCTGCATCACGGTGAACCTCCCAGTCCATAACCGGGCTCCCGACGTTAAAAGCACGGCGCTGACAGCCCGGGAGAAGAAAACACATTAGAGGGAGAAAAGTCTGGCCGCGGGATGCAAGTGGAAGAGAGCAGATATGGCGGAGACAAAAGGAAGGAAGGAACAGGATTAAAGACAAATAACAGCTAAGTCCAGAATCAGGCAGGACGGCGTGGTGGGATTAGTGCGTTTGTCTTTCATCTCCCTGGGGATGTGGGTATTTATCTTCCTTGCTGGCCCGGACTAACGCCTGCTGCAGTCCGCGGGAGTCCTTCGGCCGGCTTCAAAGGGTGCGAGAGCGGGGTGTAAATAAGAGGATGAGATGGGACGCAGCCCTGACGCGGGCTGGGCGCTTTCCCTGCTCTGCCAAAAGCAAACCCAGCTTCCCACTCCCATGGGGTGGCTGTGGGGACCCTTCCTGGGGACGAGCGGGGCGCCTACCTTTGCTGATGTCCTCGTACTCCAGCCAGAGCTGCCGCTGGACCTGCCTGTTGGGATACCAGATGGAGCAGGACTCCTCGAAGCCGTACACTGCCTCCTGGATGTAGTGGTTGCCAAACTGGTCCAGCAGCGCCACGAAATCTCCACGGGAGGTGGCCCCATCCAGAGAATGGAGAGCGTTGCTGAAGGCTGGGGAGGAGATGGGAGGAGATGCTCAGACCCCAGAGGGCCCCAAGCCCTTGCCGCCTCCCTACACACTTGCGATGGG